TAAGTGTTTGAGGAGTTGAAGTCTCAGGAACATTCTCAGCTGATTCCCTAAGAATTTCTTGCATTTCCATGAGGTATTGTGTGTTGAAATTGACCACGTGACCCATGCTAGAGTAGTTCGAATATGATGAAGGGTTCATTGGTGTACGTCCTGGACGATTAAAGAGGGACATTGATGTGAAGAATTCGTTGGCGAAAGGTTGAAATGGTAATGGTGTTTGAAAGCCATAAGGTTGTTGGGATCTTTGTGTGTGTAGGCTAGGGTATGATATTTGAGCGTTTTGGCTATGGAAAGATGTTTAGGCGTTATGGCTATGGTATGATGTACTCTCATTTTGGCTATATCTTGATGTTGTATTGGGGGCATAGCCATATTGGGTTTCTTGATAATAGTCATTTTGTTGGAGATGGTATGGGGACGTTATTGGTATTGTGGTTGGGTGTTTGACATGTTTGGATGGTGGGTTTGTATGTTAGTGGGTTGGTAATTCTGTTGGGTAGGGGGTTGTGAGTAACATAGTCGATAATTTCTTTGTGGGTTAGACGTTGAAGCTTCTTGTGTGTAGGTGGTTCACTGTGGTTTGTATAGATACCTCTCTTTGGAGACAAACCCAGTTGCAATGGATCTGTACCAAGCCATATAATTATTAGTTGGTATAGACGGGATTTCCATTACCGGTTCACGTAAGACATGGGCAATGTGGTTCCTCCATTTACAAAACTCAGATTTTGCAAAATCCTTCCAGTCGAGATAGTCCCATTAATCATTAATTTTTTTAGATGCCATTTACCGAGGTCAACTGGGGAATTTGGGATGTTTTGATGCATTCCAAATTGTAGTTTGACATGGTAACTGTTATGCGTCTCCACAGTGGTGAATCTGATTATCGACACACATGCAGTCCAAACGGCTACATCTTCCTCTCTGACTTCATGTAGGTGTTTCATGTTTAGATATGGACGCCAAATGAATTGAGGAAGAGAAAAATATTATATCATAAAATTGTTTATATAAAAAAGAAATTGATTTGTTTAGAGGCCTTACATCTCCAAGTGTTAAGTGATCCAACAGATTGTGGTATTGAATGATACAATGTCTAGGACATCTATTGTAACTCAAACCCTTAGCCGACCATATAAAAAAAGTTCAAATTCAATTATTTGGACACAATAATTAGTAAGGTGAAATAAACTAATATTAAGTTATCAGTTTACTTTTGTGCATACGGGAAGGAAAAGCTCTTGTGGTTGACGGGCGCTAGGGATGGCAATGTAGACCAACCCCATGCTTGGAGCAAAACGGTGCATCCAGAAAATAACAGATGTGTTTTTTTTTTGGCGCACTTACACAAACAGATATACAAATAAGACAGATAAGCGAAATCCCAATTATACTATCTTATTTTATATAGGTTTCTCAGTAAGGGTAAATACATAACATGCATAGAAGAACCAGTGCCTTCGGGAAATAAAAATAAATCAATTAAAAGCATAAGATAACACCTAGTTCTTATTATTTTCATTTCTTCGGTAGAATCTTGATCTAATATAAAATCGGTGTACCATGATTTGAGGCGCCAAAGTAAGATCCCTTGGCCTCTTGAGTTCTTATCCAGCAAGTCGGCACCCAAAAGTTCCTCACAAATTAAACCATCAAGGTTTGTTGGTCCATTGACCGCCTTACCATCAATATGCAAACCGAGTAACATGTATATATCATTTAACGTCACGGTACATTCACCGGTTGGAAAAAAGAAGGTGTGTGTCTCTGGGCGCCATCTCTCTTGCAAAACTAGTATAAACTTTGCATCAACCGAGTAAGACATGATTTTGCTTACATGTCCAAAATTGGCGAGCTCAATATAAGGTTTAATTAATTCGCCAGGGGCATCATATTCATGGGCATGAGGACGGAACCTAGAGACATCCTATGAAATAATAAACAAGTTTATTCACACATTGTCAATAAACAAAATAAAACATACACATTTGCACATTGTTTTACAACCCGTATATGTGGTTAGAGAAGGAATTAAAAGTGGGAGACAAGTTTCGTACCAAGTAAAAATATGTACGAGCCCTTAAAAATATCACATGGATAACTCTTTTGACTTCAATGTACATCGAACTAATTCGAGTAGGTATGTCATTATTTGTCGTAGTCCACTTTGTAAGTTTTAGCTTGCTGCGTCTTACAGAAAGAGAAGTGATTCTTGGAAGATAGCTTCTATAGAGCCACCTCACAGTTGCACTGCCACAAATATTGTTCAGGATCACCGAAAGCTAAGCCCAGAATTGATATGTCAAAACATTTTGCCACTTGTTAACAAGGATTCATCAGTGAAGGTGAGTATAATACTCTATCATATCGTTACGCATATAATTATACTCCCTCGTACAAGAAGGCTTGGATTGCAAGGACAAAGGTTGTTGAACAGGTATTTGGCAACTGGGATGATTCTTACAAAGAATTACCGCAATTTTTTATAGCACTTAAGACATACACACCGGGAACTGTTGCAGTCATGCAGACAGTGCCGACATGTAGGCCAGATAGAACTATTGTTGATGGAAATGTCATATTTCATCGGCTTTTTTAGTCGTTTCAACCATGCATAAAAGGTTTTGCATTCTGCAAACTTATTATTCAAATTGATAGAACATGGCTCTACGGAAAATACAAGGGCACATTGCTTATGGCTGTTGTACAAGACGACAATAATAATGTCTTTCCCATAGCCTTTGATCTAGTTGAGGGTGAGACCACTTCTGCCTGGAGTTTCTTCCTTAAGAATCTCAGAACACATGTTGCTCCAAAAGCCAATCTCTATTTGATTTCAGACAGGCATGCTGCTATAGAGAATTCTTATAATAACCATGATAGTGGGTGTCGTAATCCTCCTTTTATCCATATATATTGCATTAGACATATTGCACAAAACTTCATCCGTGCAATCAAAGACAAAAACCTTCATAAAAAAGTTGTGAATGTCGGGTATGCTCTAACTCGTCCATCATTTCAATAATACCTTAACGAAATTAGGATGTCAAACGCAGATGCAGGAAGGTGGTTGGATAACATTCCATTGGAAAAGTGGATAAGGGATTTTGATGGTGGATGTCATTGGAGTCACATGACGAAAAACCTTGTGGAGTCCATGAGCGGGGTCTTCAAAGAAATTAGAAACCTTCCAATCACCACTTTGGTGAGATCAACCTATTATAGGTTGGCATCAATTTTCACAACAAGAGGCGAAAGATGGAGTGTAGTGTTAATGTCATGTCAAGTATTTAGTGAAAGCATAACGAAAGTGATGAAAAATGATACTATCAGAGCCATCACACTGCAGTTATAGTCTTTGACCGTCATAGGCAAACTTTCAGTGTACAAGAAACAATAGACCATAATGAGGGAATATCAAATTTATCCTATGTTGTTAGACTAAATAGATGTTGGTACGATTGTGGCAAGTACCAGGCCTTCCGTGTACCTTGCTCACATGTCATTGCGGCATGCGCACATGCTCGTCAGGATGCTTATAGCCATCTATCTGATATTTATAAGGCGATTAATGTTATGAATATCTACAACGAAGGCTTCGCAGTGCTACCAATGGAGGAATATTAGCCTCCATACCAAGGGGACATAGTTTGGTACAATGATGAGATGCAAAGAAAGAAAAAAGGACGCCCAAACAATAAGCGTATAAGAACCGAAATAAATACGCCTGATATAATGATAAGATTATGCAGTATATGTCGTCAGCCCGGACACAACCGGAAAAAATTGTCCGAGTGTCGGAGTAACCTCTGCATAATGATTTAGTTTATCTTTTCAATTGTTGTAACCTAATATTTTCATATATTAATGAGTCTTTGTTACAACAATGTCAAGAACAAACAACAGATACCGCGAACTAACAACAGATAACACATACGACACATAAAACAGACAACAGAAAAGAAACATAAAACATTTCTAACTGATTACAACATTCAAACTAATGTTATTCGGTCCAAACGTGACTTCCCTCGCATTCTTGTCAGCCTTAACGCGAACCCATCCGCACAGGTGATCAAGTCTCTCAATATTTCGAATTCTAACCACCGATTCAGCTCCCTCTTAAGTTGATTGAAACTTTGAATGTTCCAAAACAACATGTACATCGAAGGCTTCTCTTTCGAATATATGACTTTTCCCCACCGGCGACAATAGATGTTATCAGTAGAACAAAGATATGAGATGAGTTGTGAAATTAAATGATCAGAACACTTCTATTTATAAAAAAAAATCAACTTTCAAGATTGTCTCCAGATGAATTTGCGACACCCTTGTAAGTATTACAATATGTGGATTGGCAACACCATGTGTTGTCTCCAATTCAATTGGCGACATCACATTACCCTTATGAAGAGTCGTCAATCCATATGGCGCCACCATACAATCAGTATTCTAAAGTGAGGTATTTTGTAAAATAAATTAAAAAATAAATTATTTAAGTAAAAATTTCTTAAGAGATACTAATTATTATTTTATTTCACTTCTAATCATTTAACACTCAATTAAAAAATGAAATAACCTTTATAACCTATTCTATTCGGTCTCCTCTCTCTCACTTCTTGAATTGATCAAGAAACTCTCTCACAGTTTTATTTTATTCACTGACATCAATTTTCATAATAGAAAAGTTAATGGAACAGGAGAATGAAAGGTTCCCGTAGTTACTTGGTTAATATTAATATGGAGATTTTTTTATATATGGATAGCAAGTTCAAAACAAGCAGCAGAAAATTGGTTATAAACACAACTCAAAGAAAGACTTTCTCCTACACATTTGAATTGGTTGTAAGATTGATAAAATCACATTCATGAAACTAACTATAAACTTCAAATACAAGAAAATATCTCTCACAAACACCTAATAACAATCTGACACATGCCAAGAATGTGCCTAGATATATCTTCTTTATTTGTGCTCTCCAATCACTACCTTAATGTACTTAAATTGAACTAACCATACCAGATTCTGATGAATCTCTAGAAGCCATTCTGATACGATCTTTGTTAACAAAATTACAATGTTTTCTAATCTCTCCTTTGTTCCCAGTAAGCACACCAATATTTCCCATTTTAATCATCGCAGTCTCAAAGCTATCAAAGAAAGCATCTTTGTCAGCACTAAACTTGTTCACAATCCCAATAGTATCAGCACCAGATGTTGAAAAAAGCTCTTGATCACTCTGAAGCAAACCCTTTTTAACCTGAAGATTCGAGTAGTAGTTCTTGTCAAATCTATCGGGAGTAGTAGGGTCAAAATTTGCTAGGTTTGTTCCACTTCCACCCTTAGGGCATGTTTTGCGCAACTCTTGCAAGTAAGTTGTGTTGAGAGATGGATCAGGCTTTCCGGTATTGCTGAAGTTGTATAACCTATCGACGAATAAGGAACAGTGAGACCTTCCGAATGTATGAGCACCGGAAAGAGCGACTAGATCAGTAGTTGTGAGGCCTTGTTTAGCAAATGCAGCTTTGAGTTCATCTAATGTGTTGAAAGGAGCCGGAAGATTTGTATTAGCAAGCGATTGATTTGCTGTTAAACCATCTCTTCTTCCTAATGGAACTTTCCAGTTAGGACCTTGCGCCTGTAATTACATCATCATTGATAAAATAAGAGCTTTACACTATGAAGCAAAGACACAGACACGGACTCCAGACACGATGTATATATAATATATGTTATAGTATATGATGTGGTATACCAAAATAGAGGAAATTTGTGCAGAAAGAGCAAGAATATCAGCGCAAGAAACAGTGTTAGGACAAGCATCTTCCACAGCTGTTTTGATCCGGTTTATAACATCTAAGCCTCTTAAAGAGTTGATATTAGGGAAAGCTTCTTGTTCAGTGACAACGGTATCAGTTTTGTTGAGCAAAACAGATGCATCACAACCCTGTTAGAATGAGTAAATTGGTGTTAGATTAGAAAGGCGTGAAAGAATGAATATGCAGAAAAGTATATAGAGACATACTTGAACAAAACAGTCATGGAAGTGAAGTCTGACGAGACTAGCAAGCATTCTGGGATCTGTCTTGGAGACATTTCTTATGACTTGACGGACAATGGAATGAACATCTGGACAAGTGTTTCTGTAAAAAGATGCATCAAGCTGTGCATTAGAAGAGAAGGGTAAGCCTCCAAGCACAACTACTACACAGCATAGAGCTGTCAATGTGAGACCAAAGGAGTTCATTTTGTTGTTGAGTGTGATTGGCCATCAATCAAGCCTCTATTTATATGCAAATAAATGTTCTAATGCCTATGATGACTTGTAAAGTATTCTGGATTTTCTTTTTTTTTTTTTGTTGAAAAAAATGACTTTTAAAGATTGAGAGGCTGGTAACTGCAAAAGTAAGGATTAAAAAAAAACATGAATATCTTGGATAAAATCTATCACCAGTACAAGTTGGATATTAAATCTACAAGTAAAATAAATAGTATTTAATTATTTGTTTTTCTTATCGATTACATAAATACTCCTATTAATTTGTTTAATTTAAAATTATTATTATTATTATTATTATTATTATTATTATTATTATTATTATTATTATTATTATTATTATTTATTTATTTATTTTTATTTTTGAATCAAAAATTGTGGTATTAACTCAAAAATCACATTACAATCCAAGGCGATCACATGATCCAGCCAACAAACAAATTAATTAAGGTAATAATAACCTAGCTATTATTATTATTATTATTATTATTATTATTATTATTATATTAAATATAAAACTATTATTATTTTGTTAGATCTAATATAATTATTTGATAAAATAAGAAATAAAATAAATGTAATTTATTTTTGTCATTATTATTATATATTAATTTGAAATTGCTTTTGTAGGATAGAAAATTTATTATATATTTGTTAAGAGTTTAATTAATATACAGTGTAAAATTTTACACTATCATTCAATAGAAATATATTAATCTTTCATATAATAAAATTAACTTAAAACTTACGATACTGAATACGTGAGGGTGATTGCGTGATGTAAAATAAATTTACATTGTTAATAAATATCAATTAAATTCTTCTGTTAATATTTGTTGGTATCTCAAAATTCAGTTACGCGAGCATATTTAATAAATGGACGGGTAGAGGTAGATTATTATCCGTGTTTATGGGTATCCATTGCCTTTTCTATATAAAATAAGAGATTAATTGTTATGCATTGTCAGTGTAATAAATTTTACACCGTTAATACATCACAATCATCCATTAATATTACTTTTCAACTGATTAGAAAAAAAGTTAAAACATTTAAATAAATCAACTCACAGTGTAAAAAATATTTATATTGATAGTGCATATCAATTAAATTCATAAAATATTAATATAACATATTTTTCTTTAAAAAATAATTATTTTTATTAAGATTAACTGTGTTTTTTCTCTACTATATATTTCTGTTTAATTTCGTGAATATAAAAAATTTAAATTTCATCTTTATTATTTGTATATTTTGTAATTTTTTATTTTATGACAATTTGTTTAAATAAAAAATGTCTATGTACAAACTAACTATATTTGATTAAATATGTACACATGTTTAAATACTTAATTTTATAAAATAAGATTAAAAAATTTAACATATTCAAACATTTTAAATATTATTAAAAAATATATTAATAAGTACTATTTTTTTTCCATAATAAGAGCTTTTAGAAAAAACTCATAAAAATTCAAATTATAAACTATTTTAAAATATTAAAATTTATAAATAAAAAAATTGAATTTTATTAAATGTATATGGATATTATTTTAATAATTAGTTTTAATATATTTTTAAATAAGTTTGAATAATTTTTAAAAGTCATTTTATTTCATATAAATTTTATTTAGGACATTCATTTTAAAATATCTTAAAATAATAAATATGAAAAAGAACAACTTAATAGCCAATAAATAGATAATATGAAAAGTTAATAAACAAATGTCAAGTGGTTCAGTTGGCAAGGCATTAGGTATTTTGCTTTAAAGTTCAAGGTTTAAGTGCTATTAAATCTTCAAAAGATAAGCTTGTAATGAGAAGTGCTATTAAATTATTTTTATTATATAACTGAATGTAATTAGGATGGCAAAAAAGCCCGTGCCTGCAGATATCTGCGGATATAATCCGTCACGGATATAATGTGAATAGTTTAATGGATATCCATGGATAAAATAAGTGGATATTTAAATATCCGTTATTTAATGAATTTAGATGCGGGTTTAATGATACCCGTATCCGCGGATATTTATACCCGTTAATAAATTATAAAAAATATTTAAATATTTTTAATTTATTATATACGTCATTACATCTTCCAAGAAATTTAGTTTTTTCATATTTCTTTTTTTAACGTTTTGTAATGATTGATGAAAACTATTTGCATTATTACTTTTTGTTTTATTTAAACAATTATTATATGGTATGATGAATTTTATTTTGTTAAAAGTGAAATGTATAGATATTATGTTTGAATGTTATTATGTTTTAGTGAAAAAAGAATGAAAATAATATGATGAAGTTTAGTTGTTAAATTGAGAGAAAAAAAATATATTTTTAAAAAATAATTTTAGACAAAAAAAGTTATTCATGGATATCTGTAAATATTCGCGGATACCTTAAAACCCGTGGATTACCCGCTTAACTGATATCCGTATGGATATGGGACATATACGGATATCATATTTATCCAACGGGGCAGACACGTATATCATACTATCCGTCTCATGGATATCCATTTACATCCCTAAATGTAACTCTAAAAACTTCTCTATTTTTGTTGATAATTTTATAAAAATCAATTAATTCAAAAGCCACATTAAAAAAAAACCTTATTAATTAAAAACAGATTCGACAATTAAAATGATTAATAAATCAAAGTTATGAATATATTTGCAATTTTAATACATTAAGAAACTATAATGCCAACATCATGCATTCAAAAAGTTAAAGTTTTTATTTATTTTTTCTTAATAAAATAATGCATGTCTCTTCTTGTTAACTACAAATATTATAAGGTCTAATTTGAGGATTTGTTGCTATGGATTCAACTATTTGAGGTCTAATTTAATGTGTAATAGCTTAAATTAGTACTATAGTAGATTTGAGGATACACCATAGATATAGTAAAAGTCTAAAAGGGAAGAAAAAAATATCTACCAGTAATTATGTTTTAGGGCTACTCTCATGGTGGGACCTATATAGTAAAAGCAAGCCAACCACAATTGACAAAATTTATAACTCATCTAATGAAATCCATTGTATCATTACCTAACCAAAAGAAAGAAATGGGTCACGTTAAACCTACACGTGGCCAAGACGACAATTCGTACGTAAAATCTTAATTTTTCTTCATTGTCATTTGAAAGCAGATTACCCCATTATGGAGTAGTGGGAGAAAATTATTAAAAAACAAAAAGTGTGTTTACAAAAGTGTGGTGTGGTGGGAATATATTTTTCAAAGCATAAGTGTTGCATTAAAATAAGGTGTGCTTTACAAAGCTAGGACACCAAGTTTGCAAGTTGGTCTTCTTTTCTTAGTACTATTATCTTATCTTCTTAGTATTTGTCTATTGCCATTATTGTTCAACTGTTTGCAACCATCATTATCACCATTAAAGATTAGGAAGAGCCATTTAAACAAAGTCAAGTCAAGCACATTGAGGTCATATAAATATAGTATAACCAGCTAGCTAACACAAAGTATCAAGAATATATCGAGGTGACATAATTGTCCAAACAAAGTAAAACAAGATGTCTATATATTCAAAATAAAATATTTAACTTACCATGAGGTTAAAAAAAATTCAAAGCAGGAAAAACACCAAACACCACCACCATACTATACCGGAAAGAGACTAGATATCAATCAGAAGAAATCAACATCAACATAAAAAATTGTCTAAATAAATCATTAACAATTTACTACCACAAAGTTAAAAGACTCTTACTTCTCTATCGACTTAGACAAAGATAATGGTTCTCAAGTTATATAGAAAATGCGCAAGAGAGAGCTATCTCAAATTTTTGAAAGAGCGGTTGTAAGAAGTGTTGGAAGAGTTTTTTACTATAAAGCATTGAACATTGAGTCAAGAACAACACAAGTGATAGAGACACAACATATTCATCCAAAACTTTAAAGTGATAAGTATATGAGTTCTCCTACTTATAAATACTCAATTCTTCACAATTATAATTAACGTAGAACTCCAACTTATACTTGTTATATTATTCTTAATAAGAAATTGAAGTTTGCTTTAATAGAATCGATTTTTTTTAAGAAACTCTAGTTTACTGTAAATTAATCATAAAATATGTATATGAGAGTTTTTTTCGTAGATTAATCATTAAATAATGTAAAGTCGTGTGTTATAAACCATCTTGTACGATCTCAATGACAGTCATAGTTGCAGATCTATTAAAACATTATTTATAAATTCAAAAAATACTCATATTTTCCATATTCTTAAGAATAGTCGAAGAACCCAAAAAAACACGACATAATTCCTTTCCATTGACATGAGTCATTCTTGTATTAACATTTCAACTTATTTTATAACCAATACTCATATGTAGTTTCTTTCAAAATTCATATTCAAATTTTAACATTTAAACTACTTTTATAACCAATACTCATATGTAGTTTCTTTCAAAATTCATATTCAAAATTTAAAAGGCTAAGGCACGTTATTATTCTCTATTGAAAGTCATGACTTAAAAATTGACATTTGCAAAAATATATTAATTTAATAATTAATTATTAAATTTGGTTAATTAAAAATATTCTATCGATTTACTCACAATAAATTTATCATTATTATTTATGTTATTTTTCAATGTGATATATGTTAAATATAATTAAATTTTAATTAATTCTCAATAATTTGTTTTTCAATTTACAACTAATTTGGTCTTATCAAAAAAAAAAAATTTACAACTAATTTGATAAAATATATTATTTTCGGTATAAGTTGTTTCTACATGATAAAATAAATTCAAATTGTTTTCATAGAAGCTAGAATTATTTTTCATAAGATCTCACGTGAAAATAAGCTCCAAACAACTTATATATTCATAAATAAATCGTTATCATAAGCTCCCTCAAACAATCTCAAAATATTATATCTATATTTAAGCTCAAATATGTTTATTCAAATCCTAAATAACAATATAAATTAGAAACATTCAAGAT